ATATATAAAACTAAAATTCAAAAGACATTTTAATATAGACATAGACATGTAAATTTTCATGTACAAGACGGTACAATCGGCCTATTCTGATGTAGGCTGCTCTACTGTATTTATCAAAGTGGATTAATTCCTCACAAGGACTTCAGCAGACACATTCTAAACGTTATGTACTTTGCAAAAATCATGACAAGGTAACCATAAAATCCACAATGATTGCATTAACTATAATATTATACATCGCCACCTTTCCCCACTCATTCAACACAGCCCGGGTATTATGCTAGTAGACACGTAATTGTCGACATGGATTACTGCAGATACTACCATCCTTCCCACTAGTTACTGTATTCATCTGTTTTCATTAAAGTTCTGTGTTCTAATCAGAACGTTTTATTTTTCGATCTGCGATCATTAAATATGACGTGCTTTGAAATTAAAATAGCGCCACCTATTTTATTGTATGTAAAACAAAATGTCTGCGCCCATGGCTTTCGTGCGAGTTCGGAGGATGTTGTCTTCAAACGCAAAATTTCTCAGCTCATTTTATAATTCAAGGTAATAAAAACATTCAGGTAATATATTTGGTATATGAGCATTCAAATTAATTTGGTATAAATAAATTTATTCGAAATGATTAAATTACGCTAAGCTAGGTAGGGCCTAGGCCTATAGCCTACACTATGTAAGGCCATGCGTCGGCGTATAGCAAGGCGTATGCCTATATTATTACCAAGCCTAGGTTAAGGTAGGCTTAGGCGGCCTACTCCTTTACAAAGCCTATATGAGGCTGAAGTTAAGGTTATAGGCTATATAACCTTAACTTCAGCTTTGCTACCTTGAATTAAATTGGATTGGATTTATTCGGTGTAAACACCAAGGATAGCCCATGAAAGTCTAGAAGAGACTTATTTCCAGTCCATTTCCAGTGGGGTCCTTCTGGTGGTGATTGGACAGTACACCAGGAGACAATTCCCTACTCTTTTCCGAAGAGTGTACTGCGTTCTTTAACGTGCACATGGGCCATAAATGCACACAGGACCAACAGCTTAAACGTCTCATCCGGAAAACGGTGCGCTATTGTAACTTGTATTTCAGCCCTATAGCTGAAACACAAGGAGGGCAGCGATGGGAATTGAACCGGAGACCTAGAGATCTCCACTGTTCAGCGCACACACAGTGGCTACCACCAGATTAGCTGACCGAGCTAAGCTGCTCTCTCAAAGCTAACCTTTAATCTATATGTTTGTTATTAATAGTATAGATTCAGAATCTGTGATGTTCATCATTCATACATTCCAATTTTAGACTAGGTAGGCCTAAGCCTGGCTAATTTGCAGGGGTGAGACTTCTGTTCTAAAAACCCCTCCCCCTAAATGGGCTTTCTGGGGAATCTCCCCTCCCCCACCATTAGAGGGCTCTTAAGAGAACAGGTATTTCTCAATCTCTTTTGTGGGAAATTACAACCAAACGAAGAATTTGATTATTCATAAAATATAATTCTGTTTATTTCTTTAATACAACTTCAGAAAATCTACATCAAGATCATTTAGCAAGCTTCTTCCGACAGACGATGAGCTTTATGTCCGAACCACTGTTAGTCTTTTAGCCAAAGAAGCTGTAGGTGTTCCGCAGATAACAGCGTACAGTCAGAAAGGCTTCACCATCAACGAAGATCTAATAACCGGCCCAGTTGCAATATTACCGAAAAGTCTTATATCATGGAATGTAAGTAAACCTGATACAGCAGTTGACACAGTGGCTGCACTCAGGCTCTCATCCCTGAGCTCAGGGGTTTGAAGTTTTGCTGTGCATTTTGCCAGCTGCTTTTTGCCTTTATTTGTCTCTCTACAAGTTATTTCCCCCTAAATGGGTACTTTTAATGTAGCTAAGTAAAAGTTTTTCTTTTCCTTTTTTATTTTGATTAATTTGTCAAAAATCCTCTCCCTCCTTTTTGTCAGGCCTGCATCTATCTCTATGGGGGCCACTATCCCAATTGTCGCCTCTGAGTACCCGTTTCTGTGGCAGGGTAAATGTGTTTCTTGTTCCTTTCTTCGAGCCACCTATGTAGAGGTTCGGGAACACGACAGAGTGGCAATGGATGGATGACCCTCTAAGATCATTCACTTGTTTTGCCTGTTCTCCTCTATAGTTAAGTTGATAATTAATGTACATTTAAGTATTATAAATAAATTAAAATTTGAAAAAAAAGAAATTTAAAATAAAATGAAATAACCTTTATGAATATAATAAACTAAATGCAGAAAAGGCTGTTGATCTTTGCAAGTGGAAATGGCGCCGCGAGCAGCTCTCTGAGATGGATATGTGCGCCTTACAAGATGGCATTTTTATTATTATCATTATTATTATCAGCAATGAACGTATAAGTTTATATACGCAGTGTCACATTAGATATTAGATATACTTTCCTTGAAGTTTGCACTACCCTTTATGTGTTGATATGCCAGTACTGATATCCATTCACCAGGGGTACAGTTATAATATCATCGTCAACACCAAATGGTGCTGTATAAATTTCTTTTAATATTGTAAAGCAACCGTTCTCAAACATTTGGCCGACAACTCAAACAAATGTCCAGGCAACTTCTCAAGAATCTATTCCAAGGACATTTAAAATGGATACTCAAAATGGGTCATTTACTGGTAACTGGTGAACAAAGATGAAGTAAAATGTGTAACTGATTATTAGTTCTTTCTTTACTACAAACAATCTAGTCTAGTTTTATAGCCTGCTATAAAATTCTATTTTTAAAAACTTACCAAGATTTGCGACCCTCTAATTTACTTGGCAACTCATTTTTGAGTCACAAACCACACTTTGAGAATCGCTGTTGTAAAGTCAATTTACACTGTGTCCTGGGGAATTTGAATCTTTTTCTACATTTAAAGAAATCTTTTTTGATTGTTCAATATCCACAATATCATTTACGGTATTACTATTTGTACTTTGATTCTAGCAATTATTATATTTACCAAATATGAAATACAACCATTTAAAAACAGATTGACGCAATAGTAATGATGAATTCTCAATTTATTGTTTTTTTCAGATACGCAATTGGGAGGAAGTGTCCAAAGAAAGTTTAACATTATTTTATTTGCTAGAACCTAAAATAGGTGAGGACAGTGCAACTTTTGTTTACTTTATGTATTTATAATACTTATACAGTATTTTTTAATCATTGTACTTGAATCTGTACTTAAGTTAAAACATAGCAAAATGATAGACAACCTATGCACATACTAACATACAGAAATCATCAGATGCGCAGTGATAAATAGTGTTTAATAATAATAATAATAATTATTATTATTTTTATTATTATTATTATTATTATCATTATTATTATAGAATATTCTTTTTTGTTGATTCAATAAAAAAAAAAAAAGATTTAACTCAAGAGACACACTATTATGTTTCGCGAACGGTCTGTTCGCTTTCTCAAGTAGACTGGTGATGTTACATCCAACTTGGCCTGAAGTTACTTCTTCGGTGTTGTTGAGGTCGAAGTCTACATGCCCCCCCCCCTTTACTGTTCTTGTTATCATGATAACAAGAAGGCTACATGCCTCCCTACTGTTAATAATAATAATAACTTTACTATTGATAATGATAATAAAAATAATAATAATAATACAGTTGGACCTCCAATATGACACCCCTATCTCCCTTCTGATCATGAGGCCTCTCTAATTTTAGTTAGTTGGTACTTTTTTCAAAGGACTCTCAAGAAACGTTTGCACATCATGTGTCACCCACTGGAAACTTAACTGTAAATTAAACTTAATTAAATTTAACTGTCAATTAAACTTAATTACAGATAAGAAAGTATAATACATACTCCAAGTATTGAAATACACGCCATCGTGTTGGGATTCAATATTTCGACATTAATTATGTCATCATCAAGATCATCAAGAATTATGTCATCATTCCTGATGATGACATAATTAATGTCGAAATATTGAATCCCAACACGATGGCGTGTATTTCAATACTTGGAGTATGTATTATACTTTCTAAACTTAATTAAACTTAACTGTAAATTAAATAGCACCTCATATCACTCCTGCAGTTAGCACCCCCTCCCCCACTTAAATTCAATGATATTTGGATATTATTAACTAAATGATTCCCCACCATTTATGCCCTCACCATTCCCACTGCATGCTATAAAAAAAAATAAAAATATTATAGATTGTCTTTATTCTGTATTGAATTTTAATTTAAAAAAAAAATAATGTATGTTAACACAAAAACCAAACATTATAAATTTAGAGAATAAATCTTATTAATATAAGTAGTAGTGAAACATTTTCTTGTGAACTTGAGTATTACAAGATAAGAAAAAATAAGAGATAAAATTACTATTATGAAAAAATACTTGATTATATCAATAACGTTTTATTTAGAAATTCTTGTCCTTGGACTTGGCTCATCAAGTAGACGACTTGATCCTGAAATTCATGCATTTATGAGGTCAAAGGGCATTGCATTAGAAGTTCAAGACACGGTAAGAATAAAAGGGATTCTCTTTCCATGAGAGAATTTAAATTGGTACATCAAATGCTCCATAGGTTGTGGATCTAATTACGTGGGTAATATTGAATGTTGTTGTTAGGTTTCAAATACATACTGTACTTTTATTGGGTCAAACCGTCTTCTAGAGACATCTGATACCCATTCATGTGATGTTTCCATCTGGAAGATGCTACTTTTGATACATATTTTGAGAGTGACATACAACCACATTGTAACAGTACACAAAAGAACATTTTAAAAACAAAACATATTTAAGAAAGTATAACACAACATACATCATGATGATGACACAATTAATGTAGAAATATTGAATCCCAACATGATGGCATGCATTACAATACTTTGGGTATGTACATTATTATATTTCGTATCAAAGATTAATCAGTGGACCTTTCGGTTTTTAGATAAACATTGACAGTTAAAATCTTAAAATGTTGCTGGAGCGGTTCAAACAGGACCTGACGGCGTTGCCTCTAGCAAGGTGGCTTTATTGTACAGATTTTTCAAGGACTGATGGTGTCTTATGACTTCTTTTTCACGCTGTGTTGTATGAAAGTGAAAGTAAGAATTTTTGTGGGGTCCTTATTCTCCTTTCTATACATGTCCAATACAATTAAAACTGTGATTGAGTAGGGATCATGATTACTATTCACATAAGGCCAGTCTGCATTACTCGCATCTACTGCTTAGAAAAGACATTCACTTTTTACATTTATTTTCAGAGGCACGCTTGTGCTACGTTCAACTACCTCGTAAATGAAAGCCGTATAGTGGCCGCAGGACTGCTCCCCTTGGACCCCACGATACCACCGGCGTTACAAAAACTCAGAGCAATGGAAACGCAGAAAAAATTAGAATGAAAAAATTAAATCGCAAATTGACAATAAGATTGTTATATAAAAACGATGTTGGTTGTGTGTTATTGTTGAATTTGTGAGATGAAAGTGCACAGAAGTTTTTATACTTTGTTGAATTTTGACTCGTAAAAGCAACTATAGACCTGAGAAACTAACAACCTGAAGAAATAATGAATGACCAGGCAGTGTAACTATTGACCTGGCAAGAATGTTTTAGCCACTAATGCCGATAACAGTAATGATGTACAGGTATTCGTATTTGTTATAGTTTTCGTAAGGTTGCAAAACCTCTCTAATCATAACATTAAGATGAACTGAAATCTATGAAACTGTTTAGTGGAGCAGTGAGTGTTTGTTAATTTTTTGTTTAAATTTAGGCTATGAAATTGTATTTGACAAAAACATGTCACATG